TGTACTTAACTCGATTAAGTACGAATTTAATTGTTAAGATCCTGTCTTTGTACAGAAAAATTTATAATATTCCGTTTGTAAAATCTGAGAAGACACTTGACCCGAAAATATTCGAATAAGGAGTAAATACTTGAAGAGTAATTTATTGGAGGTATTCTGCTGACAGAATTGTTCGAAAGGACTGAAGTAAATGATAAGATTGAATTAAATAATAAGACCGGATGGAAGGAAATGATTGAAATATTCTAGAATTATAAAATGACCAAATTACCCCTGGAATGGAACTAACTCAAGAATGTCACCAAGCTCAGGAATGAATGGATATACTCAAGCTTTGAAATGAATAGAAAAAAAATGTTAAGCACCAAAATGACCAAAATGCCCTTATGACCTAGAATAAGTAAATGTATTGGATTAATTAAGAAATCCAAATAAACATGGATGTTGTGCTACCAGTAAAAGTTATGGAACGCAACTTAAGTGATCAACCAACGCTAGTGCTATATCATTACCTGAATGATATAATTACCACTTGAATGTTTGTTCGTCTTCTCAAATTTGGATCGATGATAATTCTGGAAGTACTTGGTTCAGCTCAACTTTAGAGTGCATACAGTACTAATAAGTGGGTGTTCGTGAGATAAATCAACCACGAATACCAGAATGACTTTATTATATGACTAAATTGAATTGAAAGGAAGTGCAACATGTATTTGAGATTCAGAAATGTCTGAACTATTCTGGAAAACTCTAAAGTAACCGGGATAAACTTGATTACTAAATGAACTAAGTAACCTCAATGACCGAGGATTAAATAGGTGATTGGATGAGTTTGGAAACATTGTATGAATTGTCCTTATGGGTTATGAACATGAATCAAGTACGTCCATATTTTCTGATATCGTTGAAACATGGAAATGTAATAAAGACCGTTGGAAGATCTATTCAGCGATAATTATGGGGATGATCTATTGATATGCATTTTGGTATTAAAGAGTGAATGCATTGGAAGGATAATGAATTGATTTGTTGACATGCATCAGTCTGTGAGTTGTGTAACTTGAGTTGTTTGATAATACTATCGATAGTCATAGATCGTAAATGACTTGAATCTTCGATTACATATTTTGATCTAAAATCAATTCGGTCATGTTTGAAAACGCAAGTAACGCAGAAGGAAAAGATTCTGAATACCTCATTTGGTACAATTGGGCTGAAATCCTATGAATTCAAAGTATATTCCTGAATACCCCTGATTGTTTGGGTAATGGAATCACTCGCAGTAAATCTGAATTTAGAATTATTATGTAAAAAGGTTCCTGAACGTTTTCCTGATGCACATGGAAACTTAGTGGAATTCTAAAGTATCAATCAGAAATGTCTGATTATATCGGTTAGAAATCGATTCTCTTCAATGAGATCTTATTCCTGGAATCTGATCAAATTGCACAAGTTCGTGTTATCTATATTGATAACTACAAAATGCGTCTGAAAAATATATGGATTCTCTAGTGTGTTCCTTATATTTTGAAAATAATTGTTTTATTGTTTTAACACGTGGTACACTGAAATCTATGGTTTCTGTTTTATGGATGCACCGACTTAACGGTGATGGCTTATGGATTTGTATCATTGTATAAACTGTATCTTGGAGATACAGATTTGTAAAGTACAGCTCTGATCAAGCTGGAAAATTTTTATGGACCTAATGTGACACTTAGGTAGGCTCTGCGGCCCTGAGATCATTCTCGGGTAGGCCCTGCGGCCCTAAGATGTGTTCTTAGGTAGGCCCCACGGCCCCGAAATCTATCTTGGGTAGGCTCTCAGGCCCTAAGATGTTCCCTTAGGTTAATTCTTTGTAAGATGGTTTTAAAATACGAGTTTAAAAAGCTCCACTACAATATGGTTTATGGGATTTTACTGAACTATCATTTGATTAGTGTACCTATTATGATTTTATCGTATTGATGAAACACACTAGACATCCTGTTCGACCTCATGAAAACGTGATAGTATGAAAGATTTCTTATGAACTGAGATTCATGGCTTCTACTCGATGAACTTCTAAGGGAACCCCAAATTATTCTGCAAGCTGGTATACATATGATTCAATAAGGAAATTATATGGCTTTCCATTTATCTACATGTCATGTAGCATCATCTGGTAGTTCTGTATTACTGAGCTTTCCAAAGCTCATTCTATTACTCACCTTTTCAGGTTAAAACAATTGTACCAGTGCATCTATCGACTTCAGTAAGAGAGTTCTTCCGGCGTGGTTGCAGAGTATGGTACTTGTGATTAGGGGGCATGTAATTGTATTTTGATTTATATACGAGTTTGGAAATCTGTTTTATTTTTAAATAGTGATAAATGATTTTATAAGTTTACATGTTCTGATAAAAAGTTTTAAAATTTCCGCTATTTTTACAGTGGGTCGCTCCGGTGACCCTAATGTGACTTCCCGAATCGGATCGGGCTACCCGCATCGGTCTGGGGGGTTACAGAAATCAATAATCATACCAAATTTTCCATGTTATCCAAACTTAATTCTAACACTTCTAACTTCTTATTCTCATAGATGACATGTCAAATTCAACTTTAAATTCAACTTATCAACTCTTTTCCAGAAATTCTCTTAAAAACCCATTTTCTTTAATCTTTCATAACTTCTTAATCTTTTAATTTTAAGACAAATTAAGCTTTCCTTAAGCTTAATTATCATCTAAGGATCAAAACCCAACCTTTAATTGAACAAATAATCAACTAATGAAGAAACTTACCTTTTTCTTGAGCTTTTACGTGGAGAAGAGAAGAAGATGAAGAAGAGAATTGCCTAGAAACTTATCTCTTCAATCATTCTCCACATGGGTATTATAATACCCATTAATTATTATTTAATTATTTTGTTTGTTCTATTACTCATTTGCCCTTTGACTCCTTTAATATTTACTAACAACTTTCAGGAACTATCTCCACATAAATCATTGAACTATTCAACTATTCTACTTTTATCCTCAAATTCTAAAATTTTATAATTTAGTCACTAACCCTTAATTTGAGATGTTACAGAAGATATCATGGAATGTGATGATTTAATTTGTCTGCACGGAAACTAATGTGATAATATTTCAGTGGAAGCAATGCTCTGTACTGGAGATTGTCAACTAAGTACATGATGTGGTCCATTGGAGGCTTTTGGGTTAAAATGTTAATAGTTTAAGTTTGATTAATAGGTAGCTGTGTATAGTGTGGAATTTGGGTTAGTCATGTTTGTTTTGGAACTTTGGGATTGCTGGGGTACGAGCTATTATGCCGGAAAATCACGTACCTATTTTTTTTTGGAATTAAAAGGCCAAAGCCATGAGAATTAAGTAGTTGCTAACAAATCACTACTACATGCCTCTTATTGATTTCCAGTTCTCACTTCCTTTAATCAATAATAAAAAAGGATAAAGAAAATATCACAAACACATCATTGATTGACGAGTTGGCCCCCTGTTCTATGCAAAATAATGTAATGGGCTTAACTGGCACACCACATCACATCTCTGCATCAAATTTGAACGTTATGTTATACATGTCTCGTTTATAAAATTTTAAAATTTTTATTTAAATTGAAAAATTATAATTATACTTTACAACATTACAAAAAAACCCTTAAATTTTCTAAAAAATCGAATTTTAATCATCCTTCATTCGCCGATCTCTACCACCACCATTGATCGGTCTATCACTGCCGACCAAAGACTCACTGAAAACCCTTACTTTCTCAACATTACTACCGAAATCCCTAAATCATAATATCCAATTCCCCATATCAAAACTTTAAATCCTTAAATATCAAACATCAAATTTTGAAATCCCAATCGATTTGAGAAATAAATTCGTCGATGTTTACACATGAGGATCGGGATTCATACGTGGTGGTTGGGGTGACCCCACGTTGTAAACAGTGGATTGGGGAAGGGGAGGCACGAATGAAGGGAATTTATTTATTTTTTTTTAAAAATGATTAGGGGTGATTTTGAAATTTATTAAACATTTGATTTTTTAAATAATAATTTTATTTTTATTTTTTAAAAATAAAATATTTCAAAAAAAAATATGAGGCCAACAAGTGCCAGTTAACAACATAATTTAATGATCGTTATAATTTAGACACCTAAAAGTATAACAAAAAAACGTTAGATACTTATTTTTAGCGAAAAATTCTTTTAGCACCAAAAATAAATTTTGAATATAATTTAGGCGCTGATTTTATATTAATCCTAATAAAACATAATTATATTTAATTTTATCATGTTTAACAATATAAATTATAATTGTATAATTTCAAATTATTATATTAATTATAACATTAAAATGTAATTATATGCACAATTATAATAATTAGTACTGCTGTTTTCAAAAATTAAAAAAATATAATTAAAATCTTCTAATTACATTTAGTTAGTGGGATTCATAAATTTTAATATTATCGAGACATTCTTCCTAATTTAAACCAATTCAAAATCCTAAACAAAGAACCTAAGTTAAAAGATTTAAAAGATATTTAATATTTAGTTTTAGTTTCATTTCAGTATGTATCATTAAAATGTTGATAATGATGTTGATGTGTCATCATAAGATAATATTATGTCATCATTTAAAAAGCAAAAAAATATCACGTTGTTGGTTCTATTTATTTTTTAGCTATCTGTGATCAAAATAAAATTAAAATTAAATGTTAAATATGATTTTAAAAAATATTTTGATGAAAAAATTAAATAAAAATAATAATTGATGTAATAAACTAGTAGTTTACCGTCGAATATATTGATATTGATAGACTGAGGATTAAAATAAATATATCAAAAGAAATCAAAATTTAGAATGGTATACATAGTTTGGGAATCGGAAAATAGTACGCTCTTGGATCCATAAATGATAAAACGCCATCGTTAAGCAAGTGTTTATTTCCCTCATTTTACCCGCCACAAAAAGCCACTCATCGCTCCCTCTTTTCCGTTGAGTTGGCCGAAAAAATTTCCGATGCAAAAGAAAAAGGGCAAAAAGAAAAAATGATCCGATTCTTCTAAATCAAGGAAATTCTTCATAAAACTGAAGATGTTTTCATTTCATTTTGTTTGGAAGTTGATCTCTTCGAAGTGTTCAATTACATTCTAATTCAGGCAATTACCCCAAAAAAATGGCGGTTTCACAAGTTCAGTTGTTCAATAGTTTATGCACGCCGCGTGCGCCGCCTACAGCTTACTCAACATTGCATTCTTGGTCTCTAAACTCATTGAGTTACGAATCGTTCCGTGTCAAGGGAGGTTTAAGTTATTCTCCTTCCAGGTCGTCTCGGGTTCGAGCCCTACATAGAGATAAATGGGAAAGAACAGAGCATTATCCACTCGCCGATGATTCTACAGATAACAATCAGGTAAAAAAACAAGATGTTTCCAATCCATTATTTGTATTTGATTATTATTTTCACTAGAGATAGAATCAACTGAGAATCTAAAGCTAAATGTCTCTATTTTTTGGTGGGATGCAGACTCATGGCCGAGGTCATTACAGCGTAATTTTGCTGGAACACCTTATGTTCCTGTATATGTAATGCTGCCGGTAAGCATTTTAAACTCGATCCAATGATATTTCTTTCGGGAATGTTTCTTGGCGAATATTAAATTGTTTATATTGTTTGTGTTATATAATGTTGGGGTTGGAAGGTGGGTGTTATTGATATGAATTGTGAGTTGGTTGACCCAGAGGGTTTAAAGAATCAGTTAAGGATTTTGAATTCAGTTAATGTGGATGGTGTAATGGTTGATTGCGGGTGGGGTATAATTGAGGCGCATGCCCCTTAAACGTATAATTGGACTGGCTACAGGAGGCTTTTCGAAATTGTGCGTGATGTTGGGCTTAAGTTGCAGGTGAGTAATGGTGCTTTAATTCATGTTTTGTTATGTTTGTTTTAACAACTATACATTCTATAACATATCTCTTGTATTCCCTTCACTTTTTTTTGGGTACGATGTAGGATAGAAAAATACTAGTTACTAGTTATTCCACATTTTATCTTTAAATGATGAGCTTGTGGTGACCTGACTTGATCTTTAAACACAATCTGAATTATTACCTTTTGTAGTCTATGTAAGCTGAAACTGAGATAAGGTGGTTTTCTTCTCGTTGTTTATTTGTCAATGTCCTAGTTTTGTTTCATATAGGATCTTATATCATTTATATGAAATATTTACATGGAAACCAATATCATTCAACTGAGATTAATTGCCCCTTTATCTTTTGAGAATCATTTTCCCAGTCCTTGATATGAAATGGGCACAGATTGTAACGTCATTTCACGAATGTGGAGGGAATGTCGGCGATGATGTGAAACATTCCACTCCCTCAGTGGGTAAGAGAAATTGGGGATAGCAACCCTGACATATATTTCACAGATAAATATGGAAGGCGCAATACTTAATGCCTTACGTGGGGAACTGATTAGGAGCGGGTGTTAAGGGGCCGAACTGCTGTTGAGGTAATAGTAATTAGACTACACTGGATATTTATGCTTCTATCTATTACTAATAACTTTTGACATTTTGGTTCTGCTCTCTTCCTGCGTAGCCGAGATTCTGGACGTTAATAAGTTGATTTATTAAGATTTTTTCCTTTTAACTTTTTTCTCTTTTTTATTTTTTTGGTTGAGGTGGCTTTGATATATATATAAACACACACACACAAAAGTTGTACACCGATCATATTTTTACCTTTATGGAATTTTTTTTACAGTGCCTATAATATGTCAAGTTAATCGTCTACGTGATGGTAGAAATTTTGCTACCCGTAGAGTAGATGCAATACAAAAAGGAAAACACCATATTTACATTATTAGCGTCCTTTCAGGTATGAAGTATCTTCCTCATTTTATATTCAAAGGTTCCCTCCTATTTCCCTAATTCTTCAATTATTGATCATTTAGTTTCTGTATGATCTTGACTTACTTGAACAAATATTGACAGGTAGGTATAATTGTTATATTATGTATCTGAGAAGAACTATCATGATCCACTTTTTCACCTTCATGGAATAGTAACTTTGTGTAGTGTTATCAGTAGGTCTATATCAATGGGATAATTTTTTTTTGGATAAAAATGGGAGGCCTCGTTAAAACCCCCTCAATAGGATAAAATTAAGGATGTGCAAAACTCGACTCGAAAAATCGATTTTTTTTCAATTTCGAGTTATCGAGTCAACTCGAATTATCAATTCGATTTTCGAGTTCGAGTCGAGTTGAAATTTTGAAATTTAGAGTTACTCGAAAACTGAAAATTTGACTAAGTATTTTGACGGTTTTACGATTTAGTCCCTGATTTCATTATTCATTCAATTTCTCCTTCATTTTAAGTCCATTTTTTTTATCAAATTTGAACCACATGCTCCTAAATCATCTTATAATACATATGTACTTTTAATTCCTCTTTTTGATAATAATTTTTTTTTCAATTTAGTCCCTCAATTTTTCATAATGTCCTTATTTCTTCAATTCATCCTTTATTTTAAGTTCGTTTTTTACCAAATTTGAACCACATGCTCATATACCACAATAGAATACCTATGTAACTTCAATTCTTACTTTTTACTAAAATGTACTCTCTTTTTTTATGTAGTCCCTTAACTTTGCATTTTACTCAATTTAGTCTTTTGACTACAATTGTTTGCAAATTTTTTCTTCCCATCAATTCTTCGACTCCTTTATACTCTCATCAATATTATACCCTAAAAATACTTTCTTTTTAAAATATAATATTATGAATATATTTTATAATTTTAGATTGTATTTGATATATTAAATAACATTATAATGTGAAAAGAATATAATATATGTATATCTTATATGATTAAAGAAAGTCAAAAAAATAAAAAAATGGAAACATCCTTGCCATAATACTATAAATAATTATAATAAAATTAGTATAGAAACTCGAATAACTCGACTCGAATTTCTTAAACTCGACTCGACTCGAGAAAATTTCAAGTTAAGTTTGAGTTGTAAAATACAACTCGTCAACTCGAATTTGTTTTACTCGACTCGACTTGACTCGATCTAATGCTCACCCCTATAAAATAGTGTAAGTGGTGGTTTTAAATAATGCTAAAGATAAGTAGATCTGTTCTACATTGCTTATTCCGTTCTTTTATGAAGGTTCCAATGTTGCTTATTCTGTTCTTTTACCAAAGCATTAGAAAACGAGTTGAATTTTCCCTTTTCAACTTGTTAATAAACCAATTATTTTATCTATAAAAATATGCGAAGAAGATATTACATTTTTCGGTGTGGAGGTAGATGTTTGATAATGATGATATGTAGTACAGTATGTTTTCTAGAAGTCTTTTTCTCCATTTATTATAATTTGTTTATCGTCGTTGGTTGGTGTGCAGTAGTATATGGGTCTCATTGTTCTAGGAAACTTCCTGATATGTTGTAATATATGAACACGTGATAACTGCATTCACTGATCTTACAGAAAGAAGTAGGGTTTGATCATCAAGAAGCAATGATGCCATCTGTGCCAGCTCCAGATGGGGTAACTATGCTTAAGTCTTTAACATTTCCCCTCATTTGGTGTAGTGAATAATTGGATAACAGGATTACTCTTTGACCTATTGCAGCTTCTGTCATTGGATGAGATACGAGAATCACGTCTCACTGATCCCCGTCTACCTGTGTAAGAATTTTAGCACTCACACTTGAAGATACTAATTTTTTATCCATATTTTTATTATTATTATTATTATTATTATTATTATTATTATCATTATTATTATTATTAATAAATATATATTAAATAAATATATATAAATAAATAATTACAGACCAATTACAACTGGACCGGCCAGTTACAAACAAACCAGAACCGGTCCAAATCAAACCAGAAACCCTAAACATTTGGGGTTCCAGTTAGGGTTTCCTAACCCTAATCTAGCCGGCCGCCTCATCACAGCCGTTGGATCTGAGAGATCCAACGGTCCAGATTGCCTCAGATGGAAACCCTAGGGTCTGATACCCTAGGGACACGCGGCCGCCGCTGCTATCTCGCCGCCTCCGCTGTTGCCACGTCCCAACCGAAGACTCCAGAAGCTAGAACACCAGCCGTCCACGCCATGGCTACGGGGTGAGTCACCACTGGTAGTCCGGTGACTCACCGAGACCCCCTCGTCGGACCGGTCCGACGGCCACACCGGTGGTGGCTATAAAAGCCACCACCCCAACCTGAAAAAAAAAAAACAGAGACAGAAAAAAAAACGGAGACAGAAAAAAAGAGAGAGACAGAACCGGAGAAAGAAAAAAACAGAGAAAGAAAAAAAAACTACTAAACCAACGATCTCAGTCAAACATCCAGCAACCAAAAATAGAAGAAAAAGGAGGAGAAAGACTTACCGAGGAGGCCAAACGTCAGATCTCACCAAAACCTTCGAAAAGCCGAAGGTATTCTTTTAGATTTGCTCCGATTGGGAGCCGTTTAACGGAAAAAAACATCGGAACCGTCATTAGGACGGTCCGATCTACATTTAGATGTAAAAAAAAATTTTCCGGCCACCGGCGGCGGTGGTTGACGGCGGACGAACGCCGGCTAACGGCTGCCGGCCGGCTGGGCTTCTCTCTGTTTTAGAGAGAAGCGAGAGAAAATTTCTCTCTCAGAGAAGAGAGAGAGAAGGAAAATGATGAAATGAAGCTGGCCCTTCGGGCCAGCCGGTTTTTGGACTTTTATAGTCCTTCCCGAACGACGTCGTTTCGGGAAGGACTATGCGCGTAATTATAAAATAGTTAAACCCCGTCCGCAGTCCTCCGAACTTGTAAACTTTACATTTTAGTCACTAAATTGAATTTATAATATTTTTAATTCAGTTTTCGAATTTTAATTTCTTTTATTTTAGTCCTTCATATTAAAATAATATATTTAGGATAAATTACAGATTTAATCCCTTAATTTTAATAAATAATATTTTAATCCTTAGTTTATATTTTTAATTTATTTTATTCTAATATCCGAATTTTAGATAATTTTATTTTAGTCACTAAATAAATAAAATAAAGAAATAACATATTTATCCATATAATTTGATTAATTATGAATTTTTTTAATTTTATTTTTATTGTAATTTAGTCAGTTATTTTATATGCTTTCATTTATTTATTGTTTTTAAATATATTGTTTAGTAGTATTTTTTTTTTTTTATTATATTATTAAATATTTTTATGTATTCATAAATATATATAATAGTAATTTTTAAATATTTATTTTTAATATCGAAGAAAATGACAGTCTTAATACAACTGGATGTCCTATTCTGATATTTTAAAATTAAAAAGTAAACAATATTATTTAAATTAATCAATATCAAGAAAAGAGCTGTCTTAAGGTACCTAGAAGTTATTTTCTAATATTTTTAAATAAATAATATTTTTTATATAATTTTGAAATAATAAGATTATAAATTAAATATATATTTTTGAATTTTTAAATTTCCAATAATAGAGACAATTTATAATTAAAAAGTACCAATTTTGGGCGTTGTAGGGGTGCTAATCCTTTCCTAAACGTAACCGACCACGGATCCCTTTTTATTATTAAAAAGAACGAATTTTTGGTTATAAACGCAGATCAGCTCATTTTTTTAATTGGTGTTTTCTTAAAACTCTTTTAAAAAAATAAATTTTAGGTATTCGACCTACCTGACCCAAAAGGCCGATGGCGACTCCCAAATTATTTTCAAAACCATTTATTCACATCAATTTCTCCGCCAAATTTAATATATTCGTGCCCGGACGAAAACCGGTTACGACAGCTTGGCGACTCCGCTGGGGACTTGGTCAAACTTTAAAATCAATTATAAATTGTCTCTATTAATTAAAAATTAAAAGTTCATATATTTAATTTTTAATTCTTTCTTTTCAAAATTTTTATATTTACTTATT